CGCGAACTCCGCCGGGCCGCCTCGCTCGATTGGCGCGGGCCGATCTCCGAGCTTCCTGGCCTGTCGGGATCTACGCGAGCGACGCCGGCGAATGGAGGGGGCGCGTGCCCGAAGGAGCTCGACGTCGAAGCTATTCGCGCCGCAGGGGCGCTCCTCGGCCGGGGGGGTGCTCCGAGTGGCCCGGCAATGGGCCGTTGGCGGCCTCGCTGGGGCCGCGCAGGCGTCTGCGCAGGGTCCCACCAGTGCGGCGCGTGCTGGCGCCGTCGCGCCGCCATCTCCCCGCCGCGGTCTGGCTCGACGGGCCCGGGGCGACGCTCGAGCAGCGGGGCCATCGCGTCGCCGCGTCGCGGGCCTCGGGGCCCAGCTGGCCGACTGCCGCTAGGGCGGCCTCGGGTGCGCCGAGCAGGCCGTGCGCGGGCTTGCCCCCGACGCCCTCCGAGGAGCCTGCCGGCCCCCCCCGCTACGCAGCGCGGCTTGGTGGAGGTCGTGGGCCAGGAGGCGAGGGGCGCCCGGCAGGTGGGAGCGGTGGCGGCAGAGGCGCGGCGGCTGGGGCGGGCAGCGCCCACGGTCGCCCCCTGGGGCCGCATGCTGGCGCGAGCTGCCCATCGCGGGCACGTTGTTGCTTGGCGCCGGGCGCTGAGCTGCGGCGGGGTGCAACGCCGCGGCCGGCGTCGCTGAGCCCTGGGGCCGCGGCGGCGTGCGACGCGCCGTGGCAGGCTCAGGGCGCCCCCCGACGGGGCCCCCCTCCGCGCCCCGCGGGCCGCCCACTGCTTGGCCCGCTCGGCGTGGAGCTCGACGGCGAGCGAGAGGGCCGGCCCGCTGCGTCGAGGGCACCTGCCACTTGTTCGGCGAGCTCGCCTGGGACGCGGCGCGGGGGATGGCGGCGGCGAAGCGCTGCAGGGCGCCGCTCGCGCGGGGGCGGCGGTCAGTTCCGCCCCCGCCAAGCGCCGGCTCTGAAGGGCGGGGGGCGGCTGCCTCTGAAGCGGGCGGGGCTGCCACTGCCGGGGAGGATCGTCAATCTGATCCCTTTGGGCGCCTAGCGGGCGCGCAGGCGAAGGTCGCCTGCGCGGCGATCGTCGTTGTCCACTGTTGCCTGCGGACCAGCGTGTCCCAGCGAGTGGCGAGGTCGATGGTCGCGCCCAGCTGGGCGGTCGCGCTGCGCCCCCTCGACGGTCAAGTCAGGGCCGCGACGAGAGAGTTCGACGTGTCCGCGGCTTTCGACCTGCCGCGCTTTCGTCTCCTCGCGCTATAGCGCGAGGAGACGCAATCATTACTGTGCCGGCGTGCTGCTTGAAGTGGGCGCGGCTTCTGGCGCTTGACCCCCCCGCGCCAACGCCGTCGGCCTTTTTCTAGGCGGGGGGGGCGTCGCCCCTCCCCGTTCGCGTCTTGCCCGATCTTCTTGCTCGTTCTGACCGCCGCCTGGCCATGGCAGAGGTGCCGTGCCTGTTTGCGGCCCCGCGGGCAGCGGGCCTCGGCGGAGTTGCCCGGGCGTCAGGGCCCCGTTTGGGCGCGGGCCCCGAGGCAGAGGAATTTGGCGCGGCGACTCCTGCGCCAGGCGCTACCAGACGATCGACTGAGCGGGCGATCAGCTGCAGCGGCTGCCGCCCAGCGGCACGGCGGCGTCCCGGCAGCTGACCGCTTGCGATGATTTCGCCCGCGCCCTGGCCGGTCGCCTTGCGTGGTTCGTGTGACATCTATTTTCTACATAAGTGGGTATGGAGGTTTCTCCGCTGCTATGCGAGAGCAAGGTTTCTTTGTGCTTGGGTGGGATTTCCACCGCGGGGCCCAGTGGGGCCTCGCGAAACGACAGACCCAACAGCTGGTGAGGGGCTGGATTCTGTCTGAACCGGCGCGAGGCGTTTCCATGGGGGCGCCCTGCCGGACCTGGACAAGGGCCTGGGATGACGGACCTCTGCGTGTCCTGAATCAGCCGGGCCCAGCCCTCCCGTTCATCTTCGAAACGACCAGTCGTTGATGGGTCTGCCAGATGTGATGCGTCCGACGAATCTGGGTGCTTTTCGAATTGGCGATTATCTGGCCAGGTTCAGTTGCAGCGTTTTCGAACAGATGCGCCGCCTCCAGCGCCCAGTCGCCGTGGAAACTCCTGCCCGACGGCGGCTTCGGCTCCTACCGCGCCTTCGAAAGGCGGCGGCCCAGAGCGCAGGTGAGCTCGTGCATGCATGCGTTTGTCAGTTCGCTACCCTGTGGGAGGGGCCAGGTCACTTCCTGGGCGATTGCGTTTCTTTGCTGTGTCATTTGGTTCGGTGCCGCGGCAAACTTCGCTCCCGGATCGTGAAACAAACGTTCCTCTACCCATGGGCTGGCTAGCGGTGGGGGTGTCCATACGCATGCCGCCCAGGAGCGCCCCCGTGCTCAGTGTCTGGCCTTCGCCCTCTGTTTCGATCGCGCTCGCGGTAGTTCAAAGGCGATCCCAGTGTCCAGCCTTTTCTAAACGGTGAATGTGTCGTGTGCTGTGTTCGAGATAACCAAGGAACGTTTGGTAAGTTTGCGTTGCCCTGGCTTCAGAATCGGACTTTGCAGAATGAGCTTCTCAGTTCTCTGATCGGGCACGTCGTGCCCTGGACAAGATGTCATCTGGCCTCGGCGGCAGCGGCGGGAGCAGGCGTGCTCGCGACCTCGCTGTCGATTGCCGCGTGCCAGAGCTGGAAAGGCCGCGGTCTTTGCATCCCAATGCCAGTTCAGGTATCTATGTTGCGTCCAGCCTTCCCGCCCTCGCGCGATTGAACCTTCGTCGCAGACCCGGACTTCGAAAGATGACCGTTTCAGTTTGCTGTCCAATCATTTGTGCCAGCGCACCCTGCGCTGAAGGTTGGTCGGGCACGTCGTGCTACGGAAACGATGTCATCTGGCGTCGGCTGCGGCGGCAGCACTCGTCCTCCTCCTCCTCCTCCTCCTCCTCCTCCTTTTTCACCTCCTCCCCTCCAGCCTCCCTCCTCCCCTCCTCCCCCTCCTCCATCCCCGCCCTCTTCGCTCAGGCCCCTACCCTTTTCCCTCTCCCCCGCTTTCCCCCCCCTTCCCCCCCCCTTCCCCCCCCCCCCTTTCCCACCCCTTTCCCCCCCTTCACCACCGCCTCCTCCATCCCCCCCTCCCCATTCCCTCCCTCTCATCTCACGTTCCCGCCCCTCCCCTTCCCCTCCTGTCCCCCTCCCACCCCCCCGTCCTCCCATTCCTCCTCCCTGTAGCCATTTTGGCTCAAGTCATTTTGGCTCAAGCGGTTGCATGGCCTCGCCCACGCGCGCCCCCTCCTCGGCGAGGCGCGGCTGCGGAATGTCGGGGCCTAGAGGGGCTCCCTCGGCCCAGCTCGGCGCCTCCCTGGTCGAGGCCGCCGTCCGGGCCGCGGTCGCCGCCGGGGCGCCGCGGCGCATTGTCGCCGCCGTCGCGCGGTCGGCTATCTCCGCCACGCTTTTTGCGTGCGGGGACGCGCCGACGGCGGCGGCCGCGCGTGACGCTGCTGCTGCCCCTGATGCTCGCGCGCCTCCTGCTGCACCGCCTGCCGCTTCCGCGGCCAATGCGGAACGGCGGAGGCGCAGACGCCGCCGCCTCGCGGAGCGGCGTGCCGCGGAGGTTTTCCCTGCTGCTGGCGCGACGGGTCCTGCTGTTGCTGCTGGAGCGGGCCCTCGGCCTGTTCGAGCCGCCGTGGAGGCCGCCGACGACAGCGCGATGTTCGAAGACGCCTGGGCCGACGGCCTGGTGCGGCCGTCGCCACCCGCTGCGGTGGAGCAGCCTGCTGCTGGTGCTGCTGCCGCCGCTTCGGGCGGGCCGCCGCCCTCGCCTGCTGCTGCCGCGGGCTCGCAGGTTGAGGGCGTCGTGGCCCCGTCCTCGCCCTGCAGGACGACAGCTGGGCCGACCTGCTCCCCGCGCGCCGCGCGGCGCCCGCCGTGGAGGCGGTGCACCTTGCCGCGGCGGTTCCTGGTGGAGCTGCTGGTGCTGGGGCTGCCGCTGCTGCCCCCCCCGACGGCCGTCTCGCGGACGACGTGGGGGATGAGGAGTGGCGGCGGGCGGTGCGCGCGCGGGCGGCGGCGATCATCCGAGGCGCAGGGTGATCGTCGTCCTTCTCACTGCCCAGTGGTGTCCTCGCCCCAAGTCGCACGGCCGTGGAGTGATGTCTCCCCTGCGGTGACTGTTGCTCAGGGGGCCGCCAACCTTTCTGTACAGGTTGCGCGGCAGGCACGGGGGAGGAATTGCCCTCCCCGACCGCTTGCCCTGCTGAGGCTCAGGAGGCTCTGGACTGTTGTTTCTCTTGCGCTGGCCACGGGGCGGTCGCCAGTCGTGTGGCCAGTGCCTCTTAGCCCATGGGGCTGCTGGAGGTACTCTTTCGGTCAGTGAGGTTTCCCTCACTGCCAGCAGTGGTTTCCCAGCCGCCGCTGCTGTGTATTTTTCACCAAGACTGCGCGGGCGTTGAGCTCGAACAAAAAATACCATTCCTCCTCCTCCTCGTCCTCCTCCTCTTCCTCCTCCTTGCTCGCCTTCCCACCTCCTCTTCGGCGTCAGGTTGTTAGCTCAGCGGCAGACTCTCAGGCGCCGACGTCGCGGCGCCCCGTGGGCCCGCGGGTATGCCGATGACGGCGTAAAGCGGCTCAAGAAATAATCGAATCATCGCAGCAAACGCGGCCTGTCAGCAGGGGTAGGATGGGCGAGGGGCGAGGAGTTTGGAGCGAGGAATCAGGCTCCTTTAACCTCCTCCTCCTCCTCCTCCTCCTCCTCCTCCTCTTCCTCCTCTTCCTCCTCCTCCTCCTCCTCCTCCTCCTCCTCCTCAGGCCCCCTTGCCATTACGTATATCCTAACCCCCACTGGCCCGTGGGAGGCCCGAAGGTGATCAGGCACGTTCCAGACGCCACGGATCCGAAAGTTCTTCTTTTAACCTTTCCCCCTGCTGATCCCTCGAGGGCCCACGTCCCCAGAGACACCCCCTTCGATCCAATGGAGCTCGAGGGGCCGAGGGCAGCAGCATGTGAGCCGCGGCCCCGATCCCGGCCGAGGCCTTCCTGCACCCCGGCAGCGACGACCTGCTGGGCGCTGTCGCGCCGGACGCGCTGAAGCGCGTGAGCGTCTCGCACCTGGGCGAGGAGCGCTCCGGAGAATGGGGGGGTCCTCCCGGGCTTCGTGGGTCCTTCCTGCCCCCGCGAATGACATGATTAGCTTGGCGATGGGCCCAGCCCTATGCACATGCGTGTGGCGCAGGGCGTGGCCCTCTCTTCATGATATATTGCGCGCCACAGGGCAGTGTAGACAGGGAGCTGCAGGTCACGCGCGCAGAGGCATTTTGAACGCCACGATACGTGTGAGGGGTCTGCCAAAGTGGGCGCGGGCGCGCATGCGCTCTGGCCTGCCGAGGCCGTCGGTGGAGCTGCCTCTGGGGCCACGAAGCGTGTGAGAGGCTTGACGAAATGAGCGTGGGCACGCATGTGCGCCCTGCCGCTTGAGCCTTCGGTGGAGCTCCCAGTGGGGCCAAACGTGTGGGGTGTGCCAAGGGGTGTGCCGAAATGAGCGCGGCACGCACGCGGCCTGTACCATTCGGGTTTGAGGTGGGGCTCTTTATTTATTGGGCCACGAAGGGTGTGAGGGGTGTGCCGAAATCAACGCGGGCACGAATGTAAGTTTTGTCGCTGGGGAGAGCTTCCAATGAGGCCACGAAGCGTGTGTGAGGTGTGCCGAGACCAGCGCGGGCGCACATGAACCCATGTTTTATTCCCTGGAGATGACGGGTGTGACCGGGGGGCGGTGGGAGGGGGGGAACGGGCCGGTAACGTCACGATTCGCGCCGGCGCCATCAGGAATGCTACCGATGGTTTATTCCCAGATGGCGCTGGCGCGAATCGTGACGTGACCAGGGGGAGGTAGGGAGGGGGGCGGGGCCAGTAACGGGCATTACCGCAAACATAATAACACAGTGTCTCATGCGGTCCATGTGGGCTTCGCCACTGTTGCCTTCGGTGGAGTTCCTTGTGGGGCCACGAAACGTGTATGGGGTTGTGCCGAAATGGGCGCGGGCACGCATGCGGGCTTTGCCACTGGGGCCTTCGGCGGAGTTCCCTATGAGGCCACGTAGAGAGGGAGGGGTGTGCCGAAGTGAGCGTGGGCACGCATGCGCGCTTTGCCATTCGGGTCTTCGGTGAAGCCCCCTATGGAGCCCCACGAAACGTGCAAGGAATGTGCCGAAATTGACATCGGAGGGCAGAGCAAGCCAATGAGATCAAGCGGAATCCGGAGGGCAGAGGCAAAGAATGGGAGGAGGAGCAGTGAGGATGCGTGGGGCGCTGTGGACTCAAAACGAGGGCCCAACCACGGCAGGGTTGTGAACCAAGTCTTAAGTCGCCCGTTGCCACCGGGGTGCTCTCCTCGGTCCTGTGCACGTGCTTCCTTCTTCTGAGGGGCTCTCCGAGAGCCTTCTCAGAAGGCGGCGGGGCTCCTCGGGGCCCTCCGAGGGCCGGAGGTCTTCTGAGCCTCGGGTTGAGGCCCGGCCGTTCTGCCGTGCCCCCGTGTGGGCGCGCCGCCGAGCCTTCGTCCTCCCAATTCCCACGTCACGCGACTCGAACCTGCTGCCGATTGGGGACAAGGTCTGAGGCCCCTCGCGATTCCTCTGGATCGGGGAAGGCTGAGCAGTGGTTCTCCTCCTCCTGCTCCTCCTGCTCCTCCTGCTCCTCCTGCTCCTCCTCCTCCTCCACCCCCCAATCTTCCTGACGCTGACGTCGATGGCAATCTATCCAACGTTGGAGGGGAGGGGGGGCGACGACGGGTGACGGCAGGAGACGACAGGAGGGAGGCGGGAGGAACCTCCCCAGCGGGCAGGAGGCCCGGGAGATCTCGGAGGCGCTGCTGTGGGAGAGGCCGCCAGCTGCGCGCCAGAGGGCGGGGGGGGTGTCCTCTGGCCCTATGGGCCCCCCTTCCAGCTGCACAGATGGGAGCAACCCCTCGAGGGGGGCGACCTGTGGTGTTCGGGTTTCGTTGGGCGCGGGAGGGCCAGACCCAAGCGCGCGGGCGCCGCCCCTGTCGCACCGCCAGGCAGCGACCGGCAGGCCGCGCACCAAGAGCCCGTGCCTGCCCGGGCCCTCCCGCTGCGTGCGGCCGGTTCCTCCGTTCGCCGCCCCGCCGAGGCTGCTGGGGCTGCTGGAGGGCTCGCTGCCGGAGGTCGCGGCGGAACTCTTCGGGCGCCGCTCGGGGCTGAAGGACCCTTGGCGACATTCGGCGGCAGTTCGGCGGCCATCGGCTGCCTTCGGGGACCTTCGGCAGCCCTCGGGGGCGCCAGGGCCACCGCCGGGACACGCTAAGCGAAATCCTTGAAAACCGAGCCGCGCAATTCCAGCCCCGCGGCAAACCTCCCCCCCTGTACCGTCTGGCCGAGGAGCTGAGCCGCCTCTTCTCCCCCGGCGAGCCCGCCGTCAACCGCTACACGGAGGGCGGCGAGTTCAGGAAACACCGGCGCGGCAGTGCCGCTGCCATCGACGGCGACGATGGCGACGGTATCGACGGCAGCGAAGACGGCGACGACGGCGACAGCACCGACTGTGGCGGTGCCAGCAGTGATGGTGCCAATGGCGGCAGAGCCGGATGAGTCGGCGCCGACTGCGGCGGAGGCGGCCGCGGCGACGACGGCGCCCACGACTGCGGCGGCGGCGACTACGACGTCGGCTGCGGCGATGGCGGCGGGCAATGCGGCGGCGGCGTGTTCAGGAGACACCGGGACAGGTACTCCCTGACGGCGTACGTTCTCCTCTCGGAGCCTGGTGCCTTCGTCGGCGGGCACGGGGGGGGCGGGGTGAAGTAGCCCTCGTAATGTTGACCTCTGGGTTCCTTACGCTCGCTCGCACGGCATGCGCGCGTGAGCATTTCTTTTCGCCTTAATGAGGACTTAGAGTCCGAAGCGCGTCGCCATCAAAACAGTCGGGCATGCACCACGGGCCTGGATCAGCGCGCCTCGTCGTCGTCTTCCTACTGGATCCTTATCGCAGCTTTTGGGCTCCTGCGGCCCTCCCCAGGACCCCAGGACCTTCAACAAGCGACTTAGGATGAAGAACTGGCCGCGGGGATTCCACCAGGGCTCTCTCTCTCATGCCGTTATTTCTCATCAAGGACGTCAAAGGCTTCGTACACGACCGCTGCGAGAGGGGGGGAAGTCAGTTCAGCGATGCCACCTTCGAGGGCGCGTCGTTATCCTTGTCCTTCTCCTTCCCATCCTCTTTCCCCTCCTTACTCTTGCTCAACCATCACTTCCTCCTCTTCCTGTTATGCTCCTCCTCCTCTTCCTTCTTATCCTCCTCCTTTTCTGAAGGGCTACACTCTCTGACGCCGGCCCCCCCTGGGCTGGTGAGTTCTGGTGAATAGATCGAAAAGGTCACGTAGCATCTCGGAGTCCTTGTGGGATGGGCAGTGCTGCTGTTGGCTGTGTGAGTAGGGGGTGGTTTTGTGCAGTATCGGGGCCTGGGTGTGCAATCTTGAACCGCTTTCTGCATACAGAGGTGCAGAACGATGGATACGTAGACAGCATGTTGGATATGCGCTGAACGATCGTGTTGCGTTTCCTGGAAGCCGGATGGTGTCTCGAGGTATCTAGGAGTCCGCTTAGGGGTCTTTTTGGTGGTCTCTCGGGGTCCTCTAGGGCTCTAGGAGTCCTTTTGGACTACTTGGTGCCCTCTTGGGCCGACTTGGGGCTATCTTTGAAGGTCCTAGGCCCTTGCTAGCCGTCTTGAGTGTCTTTGGGGACAGTCTTGTAGTTCTCTTGGGGCCCTTCTGGGACTCTCTTGGGCAGTCTGGGGTCCGTCCTGATGGCTTTTTCGGCCATGGTAGGGCTCTTTTGGGAGCTTCTTGGGCCGTCATGAGATTGTCCATGAGGCGTATTGGGCCGTCTTTGGGGCTTCGGAAGCCTGAACAGCGGAGAACTCGGAGCGGCAGAGACATGGGCCACAACGCAATGACAACAGAACAGCAGTGCAGCAGTGCCCCTCACAGCTTCACGCCCCCGGGTGTGCCGACGGATCCACCCACCCTGCCCATCTCATCATCCTTCGCTTCTTCCTCCTCCTCCTCCTCTTCCTCATCCTCTTCCTCATCCTCATCCTCATCCCTTCCTCTTCGCCTCCTCTTCCCATCGCGTCTCGCTTCTCCTCCCTTCCCCCCTCCCCCTCCTTCCCCGTTTTTCATCGATTCTCGCTTTTCTTCCTCCACTTTCCCCCTAGCCCCCTCCTCCCCCTCCCCGTCTCGTCCTCCTCCTTTACAATTCCTCAATCTGAACACTATTCTCCTCTCTCCCCTGAAATTGTCCAGGGCGTGGTCCCGCTCCCTCCGCAATGTTTTTTCACACAGGTTTTGGGACGTTGGTATTTCCTAGGTTTTTTGCAATCCGATGGTTTGCGTGTTTTTCGGAATGGTGTTCACGCTGCAGCGTGGGCCTCATTTTCGGATCGGCGCTTTGCTCCCGTCGTTCAGAATGGCGCTCTCGCCCCAGCGTGGGCTACTTTTCTGGATTCCGCAGGCTTCGCAGGTCCCACAGGTCGCGCAGGTCTTGCAGGCCCCAGGGGTCCCACGGGTCCTTCAGGTCCTATACAACCTGCATGTGTCGCGGTACCACTGGTCCCACTGGACTGACAGGTTCCACAGGTCCCACATGTGTCGCATGTGTCGCAGGTTTCACATGCCCCACGGGTCCCACGGGCCCGACAGGTCCCACAGGCCCCACGGGTCACACAGGTCCCACATGTGTCGCCGGTTTCACAAGCCCCACTGGGGTCCCACAGGTCCCACATATCCCGCTGGTCCCACAGGTCCCACAGGTCTCGCAGGTCACGGAGAACCTACAGGTCCCACAGGCGTCGCAGTTTTCACAGGCCCCACAGGCCACAGAGGTCCCCCAGGTCGCTCAGGTCCCGCAAGTCCTGCGGTTTCCACAGGTCCGCAGTTTACATCTGCCCCCTAGGTCCCACAGGTCCACAGGTCCCACAGGTCCAACATGCCATATAAAGCCCGCAGGTTCCACAGGTCCCGCGGATCGCACAAATCGCACAGTTCCCACCTGCCCCAGAGGTCCCACAGGTCACCTTTGCTGCTGTTAGAG